AATATTGTATCTTATTGATGCTTCAATAAAAGCAGCCTTGATTTCAAGTTTTATGGTTGACCCCATTAAAGTCATCAAGTCACTATGCTCCTATTCCTGCCTGCTAAAATTTGTTGATTTTCTTTTCCTTATTGTGATATTGGGAGATAAATATACCATTTTTCTTATGCCTTTAGAACTCTGGTTGCTTATCATGAATGGCAGGATTCAAATTCACATCTTTAGTGCCTATTACTAGCTTTTGATAATGCAACTGGAGAAATACTAATGATTGCCAATTAGTTTGTGGACCCATACATTGTATTCTAAAATTTATTGAGTTACCTGTATATTGGGCACTGGAAGCCTTGCTAATTATCTTATTGCATGTGTATGCTTACTGCTTGCAAATATTCGGAGGATTAGGTAGGTTATTTGCAGGTTTTCTTATTGTTACGATTGTAACTTAAAAAAATGTGGTTATAGGATTATTTTCAGAAAGGGCCTAAATCCTTGAACACAAGATGCATGCATGGCTCTGGATATTCTAAAAGCATAATGGATCAAAATTAGTGATGAACATATGCCTGCAAATTAGAGTTTAGGCATATGGCTGGGCCACTCATTCTAGATTTAATGGTCTTGATTATCTACATGTTGTAGGTTTTTCTTACCGTATGATAATGGTGAATTGATATTCAGGAATGTTCTTTAAAATATTCTAGCTAATTACTTCAATGACCAGAGAAGCTGCTCTTAATTATCAGTCGCTAAGTACTAGAAATAATATGCGCAGGTTCTAGCCAAATATTTTACATGTATATTGCACCTTTTATAGGAATCACCTGAAGGCAAGATGATGCTGGGATTCCGGAAATCTCTGCCAGCATTCAAGGAGAAGGAAGGCTTACTTCAAGCTATAGCACGAAATCAGGTAGGCCTCTGGAATTCTTGCAGTTACTATTAATTTTTTGGTTTCATTGAAATATCTTCCAGGTCAAAAATCAGCTTGTTGTCAGTGCTTCAGAAGTTAGAATATAGAAATTGCACATTATATAGTGTTCGTGGGTTTATTTATTTTTATGAATTTAGTTCACATGGTATGTTAAATGGCGGAGGGAAAGAGATTAGAAAATATATGATTTATTAGTCAATTAGGAAATGGGGATAAATATGGAAAATGGGATTTTAGTTAAGATCATGAAAATAATAATTCCTCTTTTTTCTCCTGCATCACTGTTGTATGTCTACAGTGTTAAGCTAACACATTCCAAGAAGGTAGTAACTCTTGTAAATTACGCTTGTGAACTTGTTAGTGTAAATGAGCATTTCACGTATGTTATTGGACATGTTAGGTTTTGGGCTCCTTTTCTAATACCAGAAAGATGTGGAACTTTGTTACACACACACACACACACACACACTAAGTGACCATGAATGAAATACTAAAGTGAGACGTGTTAGCATAGTATTACTTTCTCTCGTTTCTTCGTATGTTGAACTATAGAGTGCCACATAAGTTACTAGCCAAACAATCTTTTTTTCTGCTTAGACACAACAAGATCCCCCTTTTGTCAAGGTTTTCCAAAATCTTTCATTAGTTTCTTCAAGAATCAATAAGATAAATGTAAAACCAGAAACCAATTGCAACTTGTGATCAGATTAATTTCTAACAAAATAGCAATGAATTACTGCACAAAGAAAAAAGTGAAAGATTAAAATTGATTTTTAATTTTCTATCTCTTAATCTTCTGGAAGGTTTTATTTGTTTCAAAATGAATTGCCACCGTTGCACCTATCTCTAAATTCCTGCCATGATAAGATGCTTTGTGATTGGTGACAGAGTTACTATATGAACATTGCATACCCTTCTTATAATTTTATAATAGATTATCTTTACTTGATGAAATTCTATCCCCTAAATCAGGTCTTGCTTGTGATCTTTGAGTCTACTACACTAGCATTGTATATGGCTTACCCGTAAGAGTGAGCTGAATGTGGAGTTTTGCAAGTTAACAAATTAATGCGCTATCTTAATCATTATTTTGATAGGTGATTGTAGTATCTGGAGAAACTGGCTGTGGTAAAACCACACAACTTCCTCAATATGTATTAGAGTCAGAGATAGAGTCTGGTCGTGGAGCATTTTGTAACATTATTTGCACACAGCCTCGAAGGATATCTGCAATGGCTGTGGCTGAGAGAGTATCAGCAGAGAGAGGAGAGCCTCTTGGTGAAACAGTAAGTTCCGTTTGCTTAGGGAAAAAAAAACCAACAAAAAGATGAGAACATTATGGTACAGAAAAGACAATTCTAAGCATTAAGATTCATGAAGAAACTAAAGACTCAAACTTTTTTTACTTTTGAAAAATACATTTTAAAATTGGGAACTTTTTGGTTGTTGCTGCTATTCCACAACAGAGGTTTTTTGATAGGTTGGTTTCAAAGTTCGATTAGAAGGAATGAAGGGGAAAAACACCCATCTGCTTTTCTGTACCAGTGGTATATTACTCCGACGGTTGCTGAGTGATCGAAACCTAGATGGTACAACCCATGTTTTTGTTGATGAAATTCATGAGCGAGGCATGAATGAAGGTAATTCTCTCAATAATATCAGTTTAATAATTATGTACTGCTAAAGAAGCAACTAAATTAGACTTATGTTTCCTCTATTTGGTTTTTGTTGATCTCAGACTTCTTACTGATTGTGTTAAAGGATCTTCTTCCACGTCGTCGGGATTTAAGATTGGTTTTAATGAGCGCCACCTTGAATGCTGAGCTATTTTCTAATTATTTTGGGGTGCACCAACATTTCATATTCCAGTAAGCCCATCCTCGAGTTTTCTTTGAGCATTTCTGTGAAAACATTCAGTTATACAGGATGTATCAACTCTGTTTGGGTGGATGATTGCTGAGTTAGGTGTGCATGCAATTTGATAATTACAGAATTGTCTTTAAAAGTCTAAAGGCTCCGAATCAAGTTTTCCCCTCCATGACAAATTAGTCAGTTTTGACATTTAATTGACCCAATTTTCTGTTAGTTTCAGTACTCTTGCATGCTAAACAATTTGTCCTATTATTGTTTATTACCAAAGGTTCCATTTGAACTTATACTTTTTATACTCTTAGTTATCTGTCAATTGTCATCCCAACACACTGCATTCAGATGTAGTTTTTTTTTTTTTTTTAAATCTGGAAACTGAATTGTGATGATTTACTCAAATTTTCATTGTTATGACTTTTGGTTAAGCAATGCTTTTCATAAGAATCAGTATATGAAATTTGTTCGTGATGTGTTGAAATGAATTCAATGTCATTATTTCTAATATGACCATGAGACTGAATCTATTCACTTATCCGATGTTTCAAATGTTTGCTTCTGAAAAGTGTTCTGAGTGCATTTGTTTGTTGCCCAGGGTTTCACCTATCCTGTGAGAGCTCATTTTTTGGAAGATGTTTTGGAAATGACTGGATATAAGTTAAGTCCTTTCAACCAAATTGATGATTATGGTCAAGAGAAAATGTGGAAAACACAAAGGCAGCTAGCACCAAGGAAAAAGAAGAATCAGATCACTGCTCTTGTTGAGGTGTGAAATTACTTTAAATACTTGATTCTAATATAACATGTAAATTAATGATGCTTAAGTGTTTCTTTTTCTCCTACTTTATGTGTTTGTGGAAATTTATTGTGGATCTGTTCCAATATAATACTTCATTTGCTTCTGAATAAAGTTTCTTCAAATTTCTTCCCACAATGTTCTGAAGTTTGTTATCTTTTAGTTAGTGTGTGATGTGAGTAGGGGAAAAGAGTTTTTGTTCATTGTAGTTTTATGTTTTGGGTGGGATTAGGGAAGGTCAGGTTTGTCAAGATGCAGTGTTATGTAGTTGTTTGGAACTTTGGTAAGTTAGGCTAGAGATACTTGTTAATGTATTGATTTTTCAGCTCATGTTATAGATGTGCTGTTTGAATTCATGTTTTTGCTATAGAATATGGATATGCTTTCTTTGTTTCACCTTAATATTGAGCCCATGGATAGTTATAGGGGATTTCCTTGTCACCCATGCAGGATAGAGTTGATAAAGACTTTATTATGCAGAATTTTGAGGAAATTTTCTTGTGTATATTGCACTATCTTAATTATAATTTTGCTTTCATTCATTAAAAAATAATCTTCAAACTTAAATCACCTACAGAAGTAGGTTAATGCATCATGTGCTGTATCCGTTCACACGCTAGATTACCCATAAATTTAGATTAGCATTTTCATTGTTGGTTATTTTCATGTCTTGGCCAAGGGCGAAGGAAGGAAGTGAACAAACTGGAATGAAGGACGAAAGAAGAAATCCTTTCCTTTAATTTCTGTTTTTTCCCCTTATGGATGGTGTTTGATTTATTGATTCATTTTTATGCATCAACCATGGCATACTGTTGTGTCAATATACTGTTCTCTGCTTCAATAACAGCTCGGAGGTGTTCTTATTGGTTTTATTAGTTTAGCTCTGACATGACTCAAAAGAATGCGGATCCCTGTTTGGCCAAATGTCATCTTTATGGGTATGCACCCTGATGTTATGCCTTGTGACATGTAATATTTATTTTGAGCTTTTTTTTAAAGAATGGGATGTCATTACTCAAAATAACTATAAAAAGGAGCTCCGGCCTTTATTTTGAGGTTTTTGAAGGCATGGACTCATTACTTATATGAGACTTGCTACATGGTATGCCTTGTCTGCAAGCCGTTGTTATCCCTACAATTTTGTGTCTATGCTTTGTTTGCTTTAGAAACTTAATGAAAATAACATTTGTTATGTTGGAAATATGACTTTATTACCTTCTGATTGTTGCACAGGATGCTCTTTCTAAATCAAGTTTTGAAAGTTATAGCTCTAGGACCCGTGATTCACTTGCATCTTGGGCCCCAGATTGCATAGGATTTAATCTCATTGAAGCTGTTCTGTGCCATATATGTCGGAAGGAACGACCAGGTGCTGTTTTAGTATTTATGACTGGGTGGGAGGATATAAGTTGTTTAAGGGATCAGCTCAAAGCTCATCCTCTCTTAGGAGATCCTAATAGGGTTCTGCTTCTAACATGTCATGGTTCAATGGCAACTTCTGAACAGAGACTCATATTTGAGAAACCACCACCAAATGTAAGGAAAGTAGTCCTTGCAACTAATATGGCAGAGGCAAGTATTACTATCAATGATGTAGTATTTGTGATTGATTGTGGAAAAGCAAAAGAGACTACTTATGATGCTTTGAATAACACACCTTGTCTACTACCTTCTTGGATATCACAAGCATCTGCTCGTCAAAGAAGGGGGAGAGCAGGTCGTGTACAACCAGGAGAATGCTACCACCTTTACCCCAAATGTGTTTATGAAGCTTTTTCTGAATACCAACTTCCTGAGCTACTGAGAACACCCTTGAACTCTCTTTGCTTGCAAATAAAGAGTTTGCAGGTGGAGAGCATAGGAGAGTTCTTATCAGCAGCTCTGCAGGCACCAGAGTCACGGGCTGTCCAAAATGCTATTGATTTTCTCAAGATGATTGGGGCATTAGATGAGAAGGAAAATCTTTCTGATCTTGGGAAGTTTCTCTCAATGCTTCCAGTGGATCCCAAGCTGGGAAAAATGTTAATTATGGGTGCTATATTTCGTTGCTTTGATCCTATTCTTACAATAGTTGCTGGCTTAAGTGTCAGGGATCCTTTCCTTTTGCCCCAAGACAAGAAGGATGTAAGCCAAGCTAATTATCTTACAGTGCTTAATTGATGTAATGTCTGAGGGAAAAAAAAAATTGTAATATCTGAATGTGTGAATTTGGTTATGGCTGTGAATACAAATTTGTGCTTCAGTTATTTCACATCACATTTTTAAAGAAAGATGTATTGGATGGGGTTAACTAAACTCAGTGGATAATTGGAAGTCTTGAACATGCTAGTTATGACAGTAGTAGCATCACTTTTCCTGTGAAAACAGTGTTCATGTGATGTGAACTTTGTGAGCATCATACATGAGTAGGGGCTGGGTAGCATTGTTAGATTTTCCCACACTAGTGTTCTCTCCATTATTTTGTCTCTTGCATTCTTCTGAATCTTCTCTTTCGGGGGAGTTTCTTGTCATCCTTTTATTATCTTTCTGAACAAATTTCTCTTTCTATTAAAAATGTGTTGGAAAACTTGCATTTTATGGACTATGAACCAGATATGAATTTTCATTTTTTTAACTGTACTTTGTTTCTATCTGAGAAGTCAGGTGTGCACATACTAATTTGGGTTAGTTTTGAATCTAGAGGTTCTGTATGATGCTGAGCCATTGATTGAAGTTCACCGAACCAATGAACCTTTAGTTCCTTGCTCACTTTTTTTATTTCTTGGATTAAGCACTGGCATAAGTTAGGGTAATACTATCAGAGTAAACATATCGCTTTTGTCTGTTGGGTTCAGTTGGCAGGGACAGCAAAGTCTAGATTTTCTGCAAAAGATTACAGTGATCACATGGCTCTTGTCCGTGCATACGAGGGATGGAAAGAATCTGAAAGAGAAGGATCTGCTTATGAATACTGCTGGAGAAATTTCCTCTCTGCCCAGACTCTTCAGGCTATCCACTCTCTTCGGAAGCAGTTTAGCTTCATCTTAAAAGACGCAGGCTTGTTAGATTCAGATGCAAGCATTAACAACAAACTGAGTCACAATCAATCTATGGTTCGTTCAGTCATTTGTTCTGGTCTCTTTCCTGGCATAGCATCAGTAGTGGTAAGCTTTTTGTTTCTTAGACATGTATTTCAACAATTGTCATAATTTTTTTCAGTTAATTTTCAGTTGATTAAATTTTATTATTCATTAATGTACAGCACAGGGAGACGTCCATGTCATTTAAAACAAGGGATGACGGCCAGGTTTTATTGTATGCAGTAAGTGGCCAACCCATGCTCATATTCTTAGGAATTAGGGCCTTGATGGAGTTACCTTGAATGAATGTTCAACTTATATGCTGAGACTAATTTGTATGAAGCAAAATATTAGTGTGGAATCACAGTTTGAGTCTTCAGACTTGACATTTAAAGATACATGACCTTCTTGCTTGTTTCATGATTAGGGGAGGTAAAATATTATCTTTGTTTTAACCATTCTTGATCTTTATGGATTCTTTTTTCATGTTATTGTTCTACTTTGTCAAGGCTGAAAGTGATCATTATAGTAAAATATCATATGCATAGTATAGGATCAATCTTGCATATGGCATTGTAAGACCAGAAAGCATTAAAAGATGGGGAAAAATCTGTGAAGAGTTGTTTGGTGTGTCAGACGATGATCTTTGTTGGACTCAGGCAACTGTTCCCTGTTGATTTGCATTATCAGTATTTGACCATCTATCTACATACATTGATAAAGCCTCACGCTATTAATAACATTGATGATATTTATTACCAAGGGACTCGCTTCCCAAGAGCTGAATAGAATATCCTAGCAAAAGTCAAATATTTAATCAATGTTGATATATATAATAAAATATATAGTAAATCATATTATCATATGCTATGGAGCAGTGTGACTGATATGAGACCAAGTCAAAAACAACAAATCAGTCATGTGACATTCATGACTAATGTTCTGAGTTTCTGAATATGCAAGTAATCAGGGGGCATATCTTTAGTATAAAAATAGGTTGGGACAGTGGTGATAGATTAAACAAAGTACAAGAGCCTCAATTATTTAGTTGTAAATGAGGGACAGATTCTGCTTAGACTGATAAATGGTAAGTTGCTATTATGAGGAATAAGAAATGGCTAACTTCATCTTAGTGGACTTATTGTCTCTCTCTCTCTCTCTGTTTTTTTTTTGGGGGGGGGGGGTGGGGGGTTACTTGATATTGTCTTCTGGTTTAATAGTTTGTCTTTTGGTCAGGTAATTATTTTTGTTTCAATAGAAAAGAAAACGTAGGGGCTTCATGTGTACTTTGAAGTAGGGGAATGTGATAAGATTCCAGATAACATGCCCATAAAGACTTATTCAAGAAGGAAGTATCAAAAGATAAAATAGGATAAAGATAATTAAGATAGATTATTTGATTCAGTATTTTATTAGTATTTTATTGGGTATTTTTCTCTATTTAGTTTTTATTTAGATTTTCCTAGATTTTATTTAGTTGTTTAGATTTAATTCAGTATTTTAGATATTTGGATTTTCTTTAGTATTTTGGATTTTAGGAGAATTTATCCAGTTATCTAGATTTTATTGTATTTAGCTTTATAAATATGACTAGCAACTTAGAAGCTAGCATATCATGAATTAATAAAACAGTCTTTCAAACCCTTTGAAGATTCTCATAAACGTGGCTATTGAGAGAAGTATAGAACGAGATTCTTATTTTATACCCTCCTAATAGATTTATTTCTCTTATTCCATTTTACTATTGTGAGCACCTACCAGCATGCTTAAGACAAAGGGAAATCTAGATGTATATGAATATATGAATCAATTGGTCTATAAGTTTTTTAGTAAGTGCGATTTAGTGTTTGTATTTCAATTAGAGCTACGGTTTGTTGCTTAGAAAGAAGAAATAAGGTTCAAAACAAGAGTCTTCAATTAGTTCATTAAAAAAATTAAAGAACTAGGGGAATTTCATTGCCCTAACAAGCTAAACAGAGAGACAAGGTTCATCTAACTGAAATTAATGGGAGCATCTTGCTTCATTGAGAGACTGAATTAAAAATATGACGTAGTTTAAAGATACCTGATGGAATTCTGAGTTGTGTGAAATGGACAGGAACAATCAGGTATAGAAGAAATTCTTGGCTAGACTAGATTGCTGAAAAATAGGAATACGTGGTACTCGAGCAATCAAAAAAATTGGAAAAAACACTAAGCACTAATTGCACATCCTTGCTTCTCTCTCTGTATCTCTCTTCTGTTTATTAGTAATAAAGCCATAGAAGCCTATTGAAAAGATGAATCTCCTCTAAATAGCTGTGAGTTCAGTGTTAAACACTAAAATTTCAATTTTCCCCAGTTCTCATATGCACTACCTTCAACAGTATTCCTAAGATTCTTCCCCCTCTGTCTTCAATCACTAGTCCTTTAATGTTGATGCAATTATATAAAAGGATATGCATGTGTGCTCTCACAGATTCATTAATAACTAGGAAGTCTTTGAATTCAGTTGAGGACTCTTCTGTACATTTAATATCGTTAGCCTCTTTAACAGATGGCATGTTTTAACTGTGTACATATATTATAACGCAGAAGTTATAAATCCACTTAACTTTTTATATTTTAGCAAATGGATGGTATGGATATCTACGAGTTAAACTCCCCCCCACCCCTATGATATTCATTTTCTAGATTTTTACTGTTATTGATGATTTTGGTCAGAATTCAGTGAATGAGCGTTACCAAACCATTTCTTATCCATGGCTGGTTTTTGGTGAGAAAGTAAAAGTCAATGCTGTTTTCATACGTGATTCCACTGGTGTGTCTGATTCAGTACTTATCCTTTTTGGTGGCGCCTTAGTTAATGGGACACAGGTAATTTGCTAATTAATACATCTGAGTTTCCAGAAAAAGTTTTTTGCTTGATAAATTTCATGACGATAATATGCGTTTTTTTTTTTTACTGGGTGTAGGCTGGACATCTAAAAATGTTGGATGGCTATATTGACTTTTTCATGGATCCTAGTTTGGCAGACTGCTATATGAAGCTAAAGGAAGAGCTTGGTAAGCTTGTCCAAAAGAAGGTCAGCAGATTTTGGTTTCTTGCTATCTTGTTCCTTGTTGCAAATGAGTTATAACTGCTTAACATGTTTTATGCTCTCTCTCTTGCGTGTTTAAGTAAGATACAAGGGAGTTTCAACCTTTCCTTATCAAAATTGCCAGTTTATTTTTCAATGAAACATCTCAATGCAAAAGTTCATGTAAAGGTCTATAAATAGTTTTGTTATCTTTTGACAAACACCCTCAGCAAAAGCCGATCGTGACGTGTCTCACAAAGCACAGGGTAGTGTTATCTTGTGCTGAAACTTAATAATGCAGGCTTATCCTTTAAATGAGAGCCTACATTTTTTTTCCTGAGTAAATTACATGGATATATTTTTACGGGAATTAAATGAACTTATAATTTCAATATAAGATCTCTCCTTTCCTAAAATTAAAAATTTGCTATACTTTAATCTGATTGGCTAAAATACTCTCCTCCAGGTTGTTGAAGTTACATTGCTCTCTCTCTCATTTTCTAAATCTACATTTCCCCCTTCTGAAACTAAACCAGCGCTCCACTCGGATTCAATTGACAGATACACCATCGATGAGCATAAATACATTATCTAAAATGCTGCTGTTCAACTAAACAACTGAAGAAAGTAGATATGCTGATTGGAAATTATCATTCATTAGTATTGCTCATGAGCTAATTAATTTGCATGAAGGGAAAAGTCACAGTTGGAAACTGTGAATTCATGAAAATTATCCATGAGCTAATCAATTGTTGATTTATGTATTGTGCAGCTTGAAGATCCCAAGATTGACATCCACAAGGAAGGGAAGTACTTGATGCTTGCTGTTCAAGAACTTGTGTCAGGGGATCAATGTGAAGGAAGATTCGTATTTGGCCGAGAAACAGGAAGCTGAAGGCAGCTAATGATGAGAGTAAGTTCACAAAAGATGGGACAAACCCCAAGAGCTTGCTACAAACACTGTTGATGCGAGCAGGGCACTCTCCACCAAAGTACAAAACAAAACACCTTTAAAACAAATGAGTTTAGGGCTCTAGTGGAGTTCAAAGGAATGCAGTTGTTGGCAAACCCAAGAGAAACAAGCAGCTAGCAGAGAGAGATGCTGCCATAGAGGCATTGGCTTGGTTGACTCATACCTCTGACAATAATCAAGATGAAGATGATAGCTCTTCTCCTGATGTCACTGACAACATGCTAAAACTGCTAGGGGGACGCCGAAAATCTAAAGGTCGCTGAGGTTGGCATTTTTGTCCCCTGATGGCTTCATAAGAAAATCACATATAATGATATGCTTATGAGATATTTGATGATATCCAGACAGCTCAAACGCCCAGGTACAATTTGAAACACCGTGCAGTGTTTGATATGATTGTCAAACACCTCTACTAGACATGATTTGGCTTCGTTTTTCCTACATTGGTGTTTCATAGATGGCTTCTAAAAAAGTGATATTGTCCCATCATTTTCTTTATTGAATTGGGACCCTGTACAATGCTTTGCAGTTCTAATTCAGGTTAGGAACATGTCTTAGATGGATGTTAGTTCTCACATGTCACCTCAAAAAATGGGAAAAAAATGACAACGATAACGGGGAAAAAGTATGGTGAAAGAAAATATGAGATCTTCAGTATGATGTTCTGCTGAGTTTCTTTTTTCTTTCCCAGTATTCTCCCTTTTGTGAGTTGACTCATAAATTAATAGGAGCATTTGGATAGGATAACTGTAAGCTTAAATTGTACTGAGGAACTCTGTTATGTAGATTGATTTTTTGCTTTTTTGGGACCTTCAAGGTCTGATATGCTTATGAATGTACAAACATTATTTATTAGTCAAACAGGGATGACTTGACATGTATTTCTTTTAGCTTTGTCCAATAATAATAGCATATAATTTTTTGGGACTGGTTACCTATTCCTGCAAATTTTTTTAACTGTTTTTCTATTATGCATTTACTGATTTAATTTTAGTCTCAATATCTCCCGTGCACATAGGTTAACATGGTATTTTTCGTGGTTTAGTGTAAACCAATTCTGTTATGTATTGTACAATGTTTGAGATAAGTTGTATTGTTTTTGTTTTTTTGGCCTTTTCACAAGGTAAGTTGTTAAGTTATGAGGTGAAGAGTGTCACTTTTTATAATTTTATATGATATTTTGATTCTGACATATAGATTTTTTTTTTTTTTTGGGGGGGGCCAAATATATAGATGATTGTTGACTGATGACTTGTAACATGACCTACATTGAATGAAGAGGGATTATGTTCATTTGAATCAAATCACCCTTTCATGAGTCATTTATAAAGCAACTACACACACACATTTGTTATCTTTTATTGAAAAAATTATTATTTATTACATGAAAAAACTATAATATAGACTCATGCTTGTTATATTTATTTCGGATCAAGTCAATGACGAAATGCCGCCCCATTCCCTATTTTGACATTGTGCAGGCAATTATTTCGGCACGTTCACGACCATATATGACCACTTAGATATTTATATTCATTATAACAAAATATAAAGTTACATTATTTGTGAACTATTAATAAATAATGAATATTGTAATTCACTTGAACTTCAAATTCCGGGTGAGGTACAAGGTTACAATTTAGTTATAGCTGGCCATTACATGTTAATTAAAAAGTTCGAGAGAAACACAGACATCATTAGTATCAACTAGCTAAATCTATCGACACGAGTTTCACAAGTTATTCACATTACTCGAGTGTAAATTCTCTAATAATGTGGTTGGATTAACAAGAATTTAAATTTAAACTAAATCTTTTATTTAGGTACATAAAAATTTACGAACTAAAATTTAAACTAAATTTAAATTCATTTAAATTATAATTTTTATAAACTAAAATTTAAACTAAATTAAATTCATTTTAAATTATAATTTTTTTTTAATTTTCAATTTCCTTATAATATATTCATTTAAAATTCTAATCACTTTTAATATCTTATTTTCTTTACTTTTTTACTATTACTACTTCTATAACTGTCCTATATAAACTCTTATCATTTCTAATTTTACATTCAAATTTTGGTTCATCTCTTTTTTTATTTGAATTTTTTTAAACTATCCAAACAAAAAATTTAAATACATGAACTTCAAATGCTGATTTGAAATGCAAAATTTCAAATCTAAATTTAAATTCATCAATCCAAATGCTAGCTAATACAATAACATGCATTGTTATATTCTTGACAAGAGTTAAAACGTCAAGTACAGTCAAAGCTTGCAACCATCAAAAATTGATAAACACAAACTATATGATCAATTGCAACAAGCTTCTCATGTGCACGCACGTAACTAAATGATATCTAAGTCAAATTTTCTCATTGTCATATCAGTCCTAAGATAAGCAAAAATATTTTATGTATTAACACGAATTTAAAATCAAAATCTTATGCTTAAACATCCATAGCCTCTTTCATTAAAACCAATGCTTATTGATCCTCTCTTATTTTTCAATGATAACAAAGTGTTCAAATGAATTGAAGCTTGAGAAATCATAAAAAAGAATACAGGTCCCTTGAAAATCCTGTCTCCTGATTTAATCAGAAATAACACTTCTGCTACCCCAGAAAATTGCCAAGTTTCCACACATTGCCATCGCAAATTTGTTTCCACAATATAAATTTATATGAACGAAAAGCATGAATAACTTCTGTATGCTTCCAGAAGCACAAAAGATAACAGCCTCCCAATGAAAGACTTATCTCAGTCAATAATGTTTTGAGTGTTCCGAAAGAAACTCTAGTATGAATGTTCAAATGCCTTGCATAATTGACCTTCTACTAGGGTTTTCAAGATTTTTCTTTTTTTTTTTTTTCAATGGAAAAGTTATAAATACAATTTCAGGCGTTTATGAGACTTCTCAATAAAATGATGACACATGAAAATTTTTTTCCGAGCAATCCAAGGTTACATATTTGGGGGGGGTGGGGGGTTGTTCCACGTGTAACAATTCTATGAAAAATCTCATCCCAGACAGAGCTTCAGCATACGTTGTGATTTTGCATTATATATCATGTGTGACTAACGAGAGTCCCACTCTCACAAACTTTCATAGTTCATTCCAGCATTGGCTAAGAACACATGAAATCATAGGTTGGTCAGTCCAACGTGCTGAGCAGCCAGATATGCAAAGCATAGACATAAACTTCCGCATGTGGTAGTTCTGTGCTTCCTTACTGCATGTTTGATACATGGAAAAGTGTTTCCTAAAAGAAAAATGAGAAATGTATCTAGAAAGAAAATATAAGAGAGGTATATTTCTTGTTTCTCTTCCGAAAAAACAATTTTTCACCTAACAAACATTGCATTAATCTTCTAATCACAATATGTTTGGATTCAAAAGAATGGAAGAGAGAGAAAATGAAGGAAATGTTTAACTAAAATCTTGATCATGGGAAATGTCGTTAAGTGATCATACCTATCCTTTCCCTAAATAAATAGCAGAGACAGGCTACACAACTTAAATCTATCTTGCCAGAATTATGACTAGGAATTTTCATTTGCAAGGCCTTCCCATCACTTCTTGAATTTTACAAGAATGTTACAAATATTAATTTAGTAGTTCTAATAAAGTAAGAGTATAAGCAATCTCTCTTATCTTACAAGAAGGACCCAATGTTCAACAAGCTTTTATGTGTAAAAGGGTGTGAAAAATTTCTAACCTTCCCATAAAGCCAAAAATGAAATAAAATAAATAAATAAACAAGAAAGGAAAGTTATATCAGCAGGCAAATATTGCTCAGTCCAGTAACCTCATCGAAATGTCATGATCAACATTGATAAGCCACAGCGAATCAAGGAAAACATGTATATAATGAAGATAAACAGAAAATTTCATCAAATATTGTACAATAAGAAGGACAAGAAACAAAGAAAAGATGCTCTATAAAAATAAAAGTCAAATAAGAAAAAAGCGATTATCCTCCCAGCAAATTACAATGTATTTAGTGTCTGAAAACACCTTGTCTTGAAGCAAGAAAGGCTTCACCAGATTGTAGTATAGACAGTCTTAAATAGCATAGTTTTGGTTGCCTCAGAATACAAAGAGCGAGCAAGAAAAATTTGCTAAAACAGCTTATAGAAAGAAGCTTTTCTGAGCATCTTTCTATTTCTCATCATCGATTTTCAAGATACAGTAGAGGATTGCATAAAGGAGAAAAAGAGAAAGAAGCAATAGAAGACATCTAGTAAATTCTCAAAAATTGGGCACGGAGAAGTCAGTGGCACATGTAAACTCCTAAAACTGGCTACTAGATGAACTAAACTAAAAAATTAAATGGAACAGACAAATTATCTTGATTGCAACTGCTATGGAGTTCAAAGGTCATACCTCTTAACACAAAATCGCTGTAATCGCATGCAATAGAATATGCAATAGAACATTTTGACTGAGATGGCTCTTTTATGAGGTGGTCCTTGAGGTTTGAACATGAAAGGTATCAATTTATCTCAAAGTATTGGTTGTCACATAATCAAATATTCTTAACAACCAGAGATCACATAACTTGAAATTCCCTGAAAAGCTTGTGCCATAGCTATCTTCTGAGACACAGTGACCTGTAATTAGCCATGACAGAATGGAAGAAGCAGGAATCCTCCATGCTTCATACAATGACAAATGCCATCATGACATGGTTTTGTTCTCCACAACATAAATGCGGAATGAAATGCAATATTTTACATTCTTTCCTGAAAAGATTCTGAGCGACAAAAAGCAGCAGGGTTTGCATTCAGAATTTCATCAGTATTTGAAATATGAGAACTTGCACCTTTTGACTTCGGTTCAAAAGATTTAAAAACGCTTCCTTTGATAATGGGTTTGTTCTGTTCATTCTTTATACTGAAAGCAGACCATATAGAACTCCTTGCAGCTTCTTCTGGATCATTAATTCTCAAAGTCTTAGGTACCCAAAGATTCTGTCTCATTGCATCGCCTGTCTGAGTATTTATATCTCTGGAATGTTTTCCTAAGGTTGGAGACTTAGTCCCAGAACAAACACTGTTGCTACTGGAAGAGGAAGGTGATGGGATGCCACTAAATGTAGGCCCAACAAATGGAACCTCTTCCTTCTGGCCAGTCCAGCTTGGCAGGGGACATGAATAAAAAGGTGCTGCTGATAATTCTATGTGGTGCAGTGAAACCTGGGACTGCCATCATGGTTGCAGAGCCCATATAAGCAGGATTGGGTCTAGTTACCATTGAATTCCAACATGGGCTCCATTGGTAAGCCCATGGAGGTACAGGATAATAATGAAGTGGATGTAGAGGATTAAAACCATTTAAGTGTTGCTCCAAACCTACCTGCTCAATTTCATTTGCTGAGCATTCCTTTTCCCTGGATTCAAAATCTCTGGAAGGCTCCTCACTATCATCACCAATAGAGGAGTCAATTTCGGTTTTTTTCTGGCCTTCTAGATTTAACACAGTTTCCAAGGATTCACAAGGAGGAGCTTCCTCCCCAATTCTAGGGTTATTTCCCATTCCTCCAGCAGGTCTTGAAACTGTAGGAAGAGAGTTGGAGTCTGTGTGGGTGACAGATACTACATCTGGGCCAACAGCCAAGGGCAAATGTTTATTTTTGCGCTTTCCAGCCCCCACAGGAACATTTCTAATTATCCCCCCAGCTGTCCAATATCTTTGGCAATTTTTGCAGAAATGCCTAGGTTGATTAACATTGTAATTATTGAAATAGCAAAACTTAGTCTCCAAGCTGTTGCAGCGAGGACAAGGCAGCACCTTATCTGGTTTCTTCAAAACTTTTCTTGATGATCCATATCCCTACTACCAGCCTTGTAGTCCTTATTTCTATGAACTATTTTGGCCTCCACTTCAAAAGTATGACTTTTACGACCGTTTTCATCTGCTTCTTCAGAAGGAT